CAAATTTATTTGGTCCATCTCAACAGAAAGGTACTGAAACGAAGCTGCGTGCGCGAAGAGCTCTAATGGGGTCACGCGTGAATCGCGCGCCTTCCCTTTCCGGAGGATAAAGGTTTTGGCGCATCATAGCCACTATAAAAGGCTAGAGTTGACAAAGCTGTTAGTTGGTTGAAACTCCTTGAAAAAAGTGCAAATATGAGCTCACATAATCGATTGATTCCCAACTGGCGTCTACTTCAACATGTGACATCAAATACGAATAAAGTGCCGGTAAAAATAATACCAAAGTGTTGAGACCAGTGTAGTAAAGGCAGAACTGTTCCAAGTGCCCTGCAAGACGTTGCGTTAGACGTAGTATTGGCAGGTAGTGAGGATACATAACTGCTCATTATGGGGAACAACAACATTCACTGAGGACTTCAAAGAACAAAAACAAAAACGAAAAACTGGATAAGTCCTGAGTCTGTCGCTGATGTTCCGAGCTCTCCTGTTTACTGCTCTAAATGTCGAAGTCTACGTCAGATCTCGTGGAAGTAGATGACAGCTCAAATACTGCCCCTTTACTTTTCTCCTTGCGTCAACCTCGAAAATAAAACGCCATTCTACAAACTAGAGGCGGAATATCGTATCACCGAGGCGCCAAGTGCTGTACGGTCGAGCCGTACCAGCATGACCCTGAAATCCTCTACTGCGCTGTGTTCGGTAATTTCAGGAGCTGCCTCTACACATTCCAATGTGGACTGCGTTAGGGCACAGCTTAGGAACGAATGAGAGCGAACATTTTCCCTTCCCAGAAGATTGGTTCGGTTTTGGAGAAAATGTGTTTTTCCAAAAAGGTAAATTGTAGTGTGCAGTCTAAAAATGAGGTGATGAGTGTAGATAAAGTGATGGGCAGTAATCGAAGTCTGCGGAAAACATCCCTTCAATTCTATCTTAGATGGAAGAAACCGCTTAGTCAGCTGCTCGAATGATGCGCACTCAAACCCCGTAAAAAGGAGAGTTGTCATCTTCAAAACGGTATCGGTACTAATCATTTCTGATTAAATGATAGAGAGCAGATCAGGTGGAACCCGATACAACACGAATGAAAGAACCCAAGCAGGATTCGGCCGTTCGAGGGAGCCCCATAACCTGTTTGATTCTCGGACACTTTTTGAATAGAATAGAAAGATGGGCTAAGACTCACCTCCTTTTTCTCCCGGACCCATTTCACTGGTTCGAACAAAGGCTCGTTGCATGGTGAGCAGAGAAAGTGCCCGAGCAACAGCCAAGAATGGGGCGAAGAACAGGGACAACGCAGAGTATTCGAGTTGACCAACTTCAAACCATGAGAGTGAAGCGGCAAGAGCAAGAGGTATCTGAAAGAGATGGTATCCTCTTTTTCTCAAAGAAGATAATGCTGCTCATCTTTTCTCGCAGAATTGTACCGTTTTTTGTGTCATGGAATAGTTTGGAAAAGACTTTCATCATTGTCGCAACACTTCACAAACAATTCAGAGAGCTCTGCTGGAGAAAAAAGGTAGACGAGGTAGACGTAGACTAGACTCATAGAACTCACCATCAAATGGGGCTCTGGCTTTCCAGTAGATCGTGATGGTACCAAGTGTTTCCCAGCGACAAGGATTGTGAATGTGAACACAAAATCAAATATCCTGAACATGCTCCATAAAAGCGAAATACTTAATTTTACGTATCACATCTGCCAACAGCCGGATCACCCGATCACGCAGAGCTCATCCAATGTATCAAAGCCGTGTCCTGGACTGGACCTTTTTTTCAGAACAAATAGTACGCTTTTTACTCAAAAATTTTTGAAGGGATATGCTCGGATTAACGAAAGCACTACAAAGTTCATCTCAAAAGCTGAAGTGGTGAACCTCAGCACAAATGAAACAATGTATCGGAAATTCAATACGTTATGATGCTTACGTTTATGATTACGAATTCGCCATCTGTTGTTCCTAATCTTCTTAATGCGATCATCCTTTAACACATTGCGTACCGCATGGTGCACATGGTGGTGCACGTCCCTTCGCCTCTGCGTGCCAGCGTTTTGGTCCAGAATCACTTCAGAGTTTAATAAAGTCCGAACGGCACATACTTTGCGATCCCCTCGAAAACCGCTTTGTGTGGCCGCGTGATGTACGCCGCGAGCCACGTCGGTGCGTCGATTCTGAAGAAAACACCAGGCACATGCACCGGCCAGCGCGAAAACACTACGGTACGAGGGACGAGCGATTCGTGCGATTCTGGGTGCGAGCGGCAAATTGCGTGGCGAAATTTGCGATGATTCAAACTATTCTGGCGCTTATCATTGGGGCACAAACTTGAAGTAGAGTAGTGTAATAGGGTCGGACAATCCTACTAACCTACTTACTTTAAATTTGGGCCCAAATGATAAACGTTGCAGTCGTCCAAATCGCACCGAATTTCGCCGCGCAATTTGTCGCGCGCACCCAGAATCGCACGCATCGCAACACACGCCTACGGTACGCCATGGGTCAACTACCTGACTTTTATTCTTTATTGGATTAAGCAATTTGAGTTAAAAAATCGAAGTCTTGAACAAAAGAAGAAAGTCTTTTGGCGTTAACCAATCCCATTTTTGCGATGTATCCCGACTTCCATTCCGAATCGCAAAGGTGTTTTGATTGTGTGTGTGTGGCCTATACGCTTACGGGAGTGTGGTAGCTTCTCCCCGAAAATCGCGCTGGCTGCACTCATGGTCAGTCGCGCGCTAAGAAGGGAAAGGTTTGAATTCACAGTGGGAGGATACGGTAGTCGTCGCGGAACCACTGCCACTTGCCGTTAGAATTCGGGAAGAAGTACCGCTACCCACAATTGGCGTATGATAGGAAATTTCGTTTCCTATTAACTCATGATGCCATTTGAGATACTGCTCACTTTGAAAATATTATCTGACTACTCTTCCCATCTTCTACCATTTCAGATTTTTCTGTTTACGATTTCGCTTTTCGTTTTTTTTTTTTTGATTTTATCCACAATCAGCATCCCAAAGCCCCTCAAAGCATTTTCTCTTTTCCTCTCGTTTTGAATTGCCCATTAATGATTTGAACTTTTTTCTTGATTTTCCTGATTCTGATCTATTTTTGTATACCTTATAAAAAACGGAAAAGTCACCATTATTGATTCCTATAAGATACCATTATTACTATGAATAGGGATAGTAGAAAGCTCACCTTGTCAAATACAACTCTCCAGTTCGGTTTTGTGAATGAACAATTGACGAGAGCATTGCTTCACAAAACTTGGCTGCTACCGGAACTTTAAATTCCTGAAATTCTTATCTCAACGAGAGATTCCCAACTTTCTTTGTGCACTTTTCAGTTTTTTTAGGGACTTCCGGCTGCAAAAGTTGCAGACGATTGTTCTCGGCAGTGCAACAGACGAGCAGGGCAGCAGACTCACTGCAGTCGGGAATGCATGGCATATAGGCATATGCACGGATACCAAGGAAATCTTTGCTAACCCAAGGTCCAGCAAAAGGTTCCGACTCTTTAACCTGACCCTTACCGACTATGGTCCCCCCAAGTGGGCATGTGAACTGAAATGGATGGTACTAGTCCTTCTCAATTCTCGTTTATCCTGACAAAAGTAGTGGGAAGAGGTAAATTGGAATTTTGCAAACCCAACCACTGCCACAATAGGACTCTACCTCAGCCTGTAAAGATATAACGATTGGTGTGCAGCTGTAATGACCCATGTAGTTGATAGAACGGCCTTAACTTCTCAGTTGTTTGCTTTGAATCTGCAACATTAGAGAGCCCTTGTTTCCCAGGCTCATGCACTTTTGGCCAGCCTAATCCAATTACGATAAAAATGTTTTTGAAATTACTTCCTAGGATGAACCTATGAGTTCCATGACAGCAAGAGGGAAGCCATCGATTCAAAAAAGGGTCTAGATTGGGCCCAATAAAGGTCTTAAAACCGGCTTAGCCCACGCACACACCTGAAAGCGAACGGTTTTCCTCGGCGTTGTAGAGGCTGTGTAGGTTGCACCATTTGCACGAGAATGCACACGATGCACCCATTAGGGAGCCCTTTAGTTTGCAGGCAGCTTGCTGTAGCCAGCTTACGCAATGGCACACACATGTGGACAGCTCGTCCAAATACCTTTCCCATGCATCCTCTGTCGTCACATTCTCGTTCAACCTCTAATTTCAATACTTTTTTAGAGAGTTATATCTCTCTTATTGCGTGAGGTTTTGCCATTTTTGCACCATTCTGAACTATCACTTCCATTATTCACCTAAAATTGGATACCTCAAAATTACAGTGACCTAGGCATTCAAAGGCACAGTTCACGATAAATTTAAGGTACCCGTTGTTTGACGGGAAATGATAGATCCACTCCAGAATAGGGCGATAATAACGAAGAAAGCGCAAGAAACGACAAATAAAAAGGAACAAAAAGGTTCAAAAAGAGGAGAAAAGGGGGGCTGAACGAGTTCCACAGTGAGCTGATTTCGTGCTGAAGGGTGGATTCTGACGCGAATACATGACTCTGTACACGTCTACATCTCGTATGACGTGACATCGATCGAGGGGCGGGAAAGCCAATCACGACAACAACAGGGCTTGTACTATGCCCTGGACGTCGAGTTTGGGGGAGTGAGAGGGTCCCTTCTACCACCCATGGGGGAGCTGAATATTCCTAACGGGGGAACTCAGTAACCTTTTCTTTATCGTGAACCGTGCCTTTAAATTGCAAAGCAATTGTTGAAGACAGGATTTCCTTCAGTTGAAAAACACTTATGATGAATTTGATAAAAAAATTTTACCTCAAGCGGTAGCGATCCTTTAGGTATGCATCCGAGAGCATAGAGTAGCATCATAAACATAAATGTGAAGAAGTGATGAAGGAAATGGATGACCGGAGTTTTTATGTCGAGCACAAAGAACAGCACGTTATGGGCAGCAGATAGCATGAATCCAGACGAAACATTGAGCAGGAAGAAGTAGGTAACATCCTAAGTTATACGTTCGTTAACGATATGAGAGCAAGGATACAAAAGGCTCAACACTAAATTTCAGTAATTAAAAAGGGTCAGACAAGTTTTTTCGTTCGACATAGGCACAGACGTAGACACATACATTCTACGCTAGGTTTGAGACGAACAAATTTTGTAGTTATCGTAATCTAGGAAGAAATTATTTATGACACACGTTTGACTTCATAGAGCGAAGGAAATTCGAGCATTCGATAGACCCTTTCCATTCTAGATGACCCTAGAACGATGTCATTTGCCATGAGTACACGGGGTCAATGAAAGTGTATGTCATACTCGAAACCCAAACAGTTTGATTGGGAACAAAATCGATACAGTACCTGCTTTCTGGGTGAACTAGCGGCGTCACGCATGCTTGAAGGTCTCCGTTGGTGACGAGCGGCCGAGATCTGGGTTTTCTGTGTTATCTGGTCGTCGAATCGTCCGATAACTCCCAAACCCGAACACCCTTCGATGTCGATACTGCCAACCATGTCGAAATGAACCTGTCAATTGTGGTGTTGAAATTCTGTCTATTCCGAATCAACCATTTCCCCTAACAACGCTCCCTAGATGCACCATAATGGATCTTCAGGATTATCTGTGGGAAAGGAATAAAACAAATGGAAAGTTTCTAATGAACAGCTACAACTACTCCATGCTGAAGCGATTATAACACTTTAGCACTTGCTTTTCTCAGCGGCAACCAACCTGTAGTCGCTGTAGACTGAACGATGGCTTTGAAAAAAGTAGGTATCGGGTATAGAGAAGAACAGTATTATGGAAGTGGAGAAGTCAGTACTGACCAGGGTGAGGGAAAATTTAGTAACCGTAGCTGTTCGCAGCTGAACAATCCATCGAAATGGCTATCCTGCAGCCTTGACATGCCCATGTCCTAAAAGATTGAACAGATATCTTTGTAAAGTGCAAGGGCTGACAGAACACGTATCACACCTCCCACGACTTTGCATATGGAAGAACTGCAGGTCCCACTTCATTCTGAGTGGTCATATATGTAGCTCTATCAGGAAAAGAGCATGCGTTTTCAATGTCATTGAGATATTTTATAGTGGTTTCGGGTTGTGGGTGGATTGTGAATTCCTTGTACTCGAATGTCCGCTTTCGCGACATAGGCCATGTGCCGGAGCTGCGTAT